TTTTCTGTTTCTTCCTGAGTCTGTCTTGAAAGGTTGTATTTTTCTAGAAAGTTGTCCATTTCTTCTAGATTATCCAATTTGTTAGCACATAATTTCTCATAGTATTCTCTAATAATTCTTTCTATTTCTGTGGTGTAAGTAGTGATTTTTCCTTTCTCACTTCTGATTCTTTTTATGTGTGTACACTCTTTTTTTCTTGATAAGTCTGGCCAGGGCTTTATCTATTTTGTTTATTTTCTCGAAGAACCAGCTCCTGGTTTCATTGATTCTTTCTGTTGTTTTATTCTTCTCAATTTTATTTATTTCTGCTTGGATATTTGTTATGTCCCTCCTTCTACTGACTTTGGGTTAGTTCTTCTTTGTCCGGTTTCATTAATTGTGAGTTTGGACTGTTCATTTGGGATTGCACTTCTTTCTTGAGATAAGCCTTTAGTGCTATATACTTCCCTCTTAGAACTGCCTTCACTGCATCCACAGAAGTTGGGGTATTGATCTGTTGTTTGCATTTGTCTCCATATATTGTTTGATCTCTGTTTTTATTTGGTCACTGATCCATTGATTATTTAGGAGCATGTTGTTAAGCCTCCATGTGTTTGTGGGCTTTTTTGTTTTCTTTGCATAATTTATTTCTAGTTTCATACCTTTGTGGTCTGAGAAGCCGGTTGGTACATGTCAGTCCTTCTGAATTTACTGAGACTCTTTTTGTGGCCTAGTATGTGATCTTTTCTTGAAAGTGTTCCATGTGCACTTGAGAAGAATGTGTATCCTGCTGCTTTTGGGTGTAGAGTTCTGTAGATGTCTGTTAGGTCCATCTGTTCTAATGTGTTGTTCAGTGCCTTGTCTCCTTACTTATTTTCTGTCTGATTGATCTGTCTTTGGAGTGAGTGGTGTGTTGAAGTCTCCTAAAATGAACTCATTGCATTCTATTTCCCCTTTAATTCTGTTAGTATTTGTTTCACATATCTTGGTGGTCCTGTGTTGGGTGCATAGATATTTATAATGGTTATATCCTCTTTTTGAACTGGCCCCTTTATCATTATATAGTGTCCTTTTTGTTACTTGTTTTTGTCTCTTGGTACTTTCTTTGTTTTGAAGTCTATTTTGACTGATACAAGTATTGCAACTCCTGCTTTTTTCTCCCTACTATTTGCATGAAATATCTTTTTCCATCCCTTCACTTTTAGTCTGTGTATGTCTTTGGGCTTGAAGTGAGTCTCTTGTAGGCAGCATATAGATGGGTCTTGCTTTTTTATATATTGTGTAACTCTTTGTTTTTTGATTGGTGCATTTAGTCCATTTACAGTTAGAGTGGTTATCTATAGTAATGTACTTATTGCTATTGCAGGCTTTAGATTTATGGTTACCAAAGGTTCAGGGACAGCTTGTTTATTATCTAACAGTCTAACTTAACTTGCTTATTACACTATTACAAACACAATTTAAATGTTCTTTTTTTTCCCTCTCCCTTTTCTTCCTCCTCCACTCTTTATATGTTAGGTATCATATTGTGTACTCTTTGTGTATCCCTTGCCTGACTTTGTGGGTAGCTGATTTAATTTTACATTTGTTTAGTAATTAATTGGTCTACTTCCTTTACTGTGGTTTTATTTTCTCTAGTGACAGCTATTTAGCCTAGAAGCACTTCTATCTAGAGCAGTCCCTTTAAAAACAGAGATGGTTTATGGAAGGTAAATTCCCTCAAGTTTTGCTTATCTGGAAATTGTTTAATTCCTGCTTTGAATTTAAATGATAATCTTGCCAGGTAGAGTGTTCTTGGTTTGAGGCACTTCTGTTTCATTGCATTAAATATTAATGGTGTTTTTTAAAGTAAAATTTATATGTAATTGATATGCACAAATTTTAAGGTTCCTTTTGGTGAACTTTGACAAACACATACACCTATAGATCCAAATAGCTATCAACTGGTAGAAGATTATCATCATTCCAGGAAGCTTCTTCTTGCTAACTTCCTGCTCAATCCCCACCTCCATTCCACCCTAAAATGAAAAAACTATTCCAATGTTTTTCACCATACGTTAGTGTTACTTGTTCCAGAACTTCGTATAAATGGAATGATCAACTAGATACTTTCCAGTCTCCAGAACTGTGGGAAATAAATTTTTGTTGTTTAAGCCACCAGCATGTGGTATTTTGTTATGGAAACTCTACCAGTCTAGGACATCATCCTTGTAGTATTCTTGCACTGAGGTTCACGCCACCAAGCCGTAGTGACACCTATGAGATATTACCACACAGCTCTGTCTTTGTCCAAGTTCAAGGTCCATTTGTTAGATTCTAGTGTCATTCATGTCTTCTTCTTGACCCTTTTCATTGTTATTCTTTTTTATGAGTTATTAGGCCTCTCTTCCTGGCATTTTTCTTTCATGACAAACGTGTGTCCTTGTATATTCAGTTATATGCAGTTTAAAATCTTCCTGCTTCCCATGCTTTCATGAGTCAGTGGAAGCAGGAAGTTGTGGTAGTGAGTCCTGATGGGTGTTACAGAATTGTGTAGTTTGGCATGATGACCCAGAAAGACAGCTGGTCTTACTGGCTGTGCCAGGTCTTTAGGACACTCCTTCTGTAGGCCCTAAGGGAGCCACTAAACACCCCTGCCAGCCTCTTCTTCCTGGGGGAGATCTTTGTCCCCTGATAATTACACTGTTTCCAGCCTCCTTGAGATAGACTCTCCTTTGCCAGAGCCCACACATTTTTCCAGTACCTTACACCACCCACCAGCAAACCCAATTCTGTCCTTTGACACCATCCGTATAGCTAGCAGATTCCTTCTCAGAGCCTCCCTTCCCTACCTGTGCCCTTCTGCGATACCAGAGAAGTTAAAATACTGCTATGTCATTTATATTATTAAAGCCCACTCTCAAGTTCTAAGGTTTCATCTCAGAATGTGTCAAAGGTTCTAGAGAATGGTTCTTCAGATAGGAACCCTGCATGTTAAATTTTACAGAGAAACTATTTGTGAAATGTTGTGAACATCAGGTGAAGGTGCATAGCTTTCATCAGAATGATAAATTTCTCACCTAAAAGCAGTTAACAACCAGCATTCTGGAGACATAGTCCAGATTCTCTGTGCTTTCATGAGTCAGTGGAAATGGAAAGTTGTGGTAGTGAGTCCTGATGGGTGCTACAGAATTGCGTAGTTTGGCATGATGACCCAGAAAGACAGCTGGTCTGACTGGCTGTGCCAGGTCTTTAGGACGCTCCTTCTGTAGGCCTTAAGGGAGCCACTAAACACCCCTGCCAGCCTCTTCCTCCTGGGGAAGCAGCTGCTTTCCTAGAAACGTGTAGTAATTGTGAATTCCCTTTATTGTTCCATGGAGCAGTAATCTTGTTTCCTATTCTGAGAATCTTGAATCACTCTCTGCTGGAAAAATCTGAGCTTTGTTAAATAGTTTCAGTGATTCAGAGTTTTTCCTTGCCTTTCCCTCTGCAACCTGATTCTAATCACCTTAGAATATTTTTTCCCCTGAACCTTTCTTTTTGGATTCTTTCTCCCATCCTGTCAAGAAATTCTGTCTCCTCTCATCTAAGTAGAAATGTAAAGAAGCATTTCTCAAGCTTTTCCTTTCTCCTCCCTGTAAGAAACTTGCTTGCATTTAGAGTAGATATAATGGTCAGGCTTTTGCTTCCAGCAGGGAGACCCATAAGACATTTGGCCACAGCCACTATGACTGTTCTGTTTCCACGCCTTTTGGATTGCACATGGTCACCCAGTGGTTTCCTTTTGAAATCTTTATTTTGCCCTGCCTATTCTCTAGAAAACGAGAGACTCTGGAGTGCTTCCTGGAAATACTGCCTTCCTGTTTGCTTTCCTAATCTTTCTAGACAAAGTACTTTGCTGAGTAGTGGGTGGTTCCACTCTGTTGTCAGGTAGGGGTCAGCCAAATACAGAGAGATCTTGACTAGGAGTATTTCAAAGTCACACACTCTCCCGCACCTGTCTCCTGCCATGTGTCTGTGCTGGTTTCAGGTTCCCAGGCATGCCAGCCCAAACCTTCTGGAAGCCACTTATCCATTACTGAACAGCTTTAATCTGGGATGCCGATGGCCCTCTCTTGACCTCAGAAAGTGCATGTGGCTCCCCACATTGCATAAGGTATTCCCTGGGAGTGACTGAGAGGATGGAAAAGCTCTCCCTCTTAAATGACTCCTGCTGGAGCTCTTTTTGCCAATCTGTGGCTCGTGAGCCAAAAATGGAAGCTGGTTTCTGGTGCTAGCTTCTTCTTCCCAGAGCTTGTTAGGACTGCCCCGGAGTGAGCAGCTGACTCATATTCCACCCTCATCCTTCCTCACTTAGGGAAAATGTGGTGTGGCCTGGGAGTGCCACTCTGAAGAGAGTTCAATAAATTTTAATAAACTGGGTTCTATTTATTTGGTTGTATTTGTTGGAAAAGAGCTTACTTTATTTTAAAGTCAACTATTTGAGTGTTTCCAGTGTTAAAAATTATTTGTAGCATCTGTGGCAGAAACTGTTGTGTTTATTTAAATCTTACTTAAAGCCCCAGGATTATAAGAAGTCCCTTGCTCTTTTGCCACAGCCTGGGCTGTGGTACAAAAGCCACTGTGTGGAATGACTGGGAAGATACTTCTGATCTCAAATGTCAGCCAGACTCACAGTTAGGAGTTTACACTAGAGCCTGTGGAGAAGGCACATTTGATATTTGAGGGGAATAGAAACAAGCTTTTTACATACTTCTTAGGCTTCCAGAAAAAATTCTGTGGTATAACATTTTATTTATTGCCTCACAAAATATTGAGGACCTACTAGGAGCCAGGTAATATTTTAGGGGAAAAAAGACCTAGTCCCTGCCCTCAAGGAGCTTCCGTTCTAGAGAAATGTAGTGAAATTGTTGCTTAAATATTTAAGAACTGTTTAATTTGCATCCAGTAAAAGCCACTGTAGAAAACAACATGAATGAAATAGTCCAGAGAGGGGGTAATGAGACTCCAGATGGGTTAATTGCCAATTTCTGGCTTTACAGGGCCAGCATGCAAGGTTCAAGAAGTATGTGGGGCACAGCGCACACGTCACCAACGTGAGATGGCTGCACAACGACTCTGTGCTGCTCACAGTAGGTGGCGCCGACACAGCCTTGATGATCTGGACGCGGGAGTTTGTGGGGACTCAGGAGAGCAAGTTGGTGGACAGTGAGGAGTCAGATACTGATGCAGAGGAGGATGGAGGTGTGCCCCCAAATACCTTGCAGCACTGCACCATCCCCCCCATCCCGTCTGGATCCCTGCAGGCCAGCTCCACTCCCCCATGTCTCTCTGTTGTTCAAGGCTATGACAGTGACGTCGCCAGAGAGAAGGCTATTGATTACACCACCAAGATCTATGCTGTGAGCATCAGGGAAATGGAAGGCACCAAGCCACACCAGCAGCTGAAAGAAGTTTCAGTGGAAGAAAGGTATGGTGTTGCCAGCTTTGCTTGCATTTGGTGTACTTAATGCAAAGAAACTCATTGCAATCAGTGTATTTTCTTTGGCCTCAAAGTTACTACTTAAGCTAGTATTTTTTGTATATGCACAATGTCTGGACCTATATGCAGACTTGAGCTGGGGAGAATTTCCTACAGCCTCACTATGTGGCACGGGATGGGTTACACTTGGCAGAAATGGTTATGGAATTATGACCTAGAACAGACATGAGTTTTGATGGGACTAGGTTTTCCCTTGCCTGGAGAGGATGTCAGGGTAGACTAACAGCTGTCCCAAATGTGATAGCTGACAGGAAAGCATGCTGACTCGGGGTGGGAGGAAGGGTGGCTGTCTGAGGTCCTGCAATAATATTTGTGGTTGTAAAAAAACAGTCTTCCATTCTAACCAGGGTCTGTGTGTCACACTGTTTCACTTGGTGTACCTTCTCTTACTGTGTCTTTACCTGCCCAGGTTTGTTCAGGTGGGGTTGGTAGTTCCAGGCCTAACCAATTTGATTTTGCTGCCTTGGATCCTTTATGTAGAAAGACAGTTTCTGGTATTATTTTAGGCCTTTTAGCTGTGCTATTTTAAGTATTGATAAAAGAATTACAGTTGACACTTGAATAACATAGTAGTTGGGTTGCCAGCTGCCCATGCAGTCAAAAATCTGCATATAACTTTTACACCCCAAAAACTTAATCACTAATAGGCTACTATTGACTGGAAGACTTACATATAATATAAATAGTCAATTAGCACTTATTTTGTATGTTATCTGTATTATGTATTGTATTCTTACAATAAGTAAGCTAGAGAAAAGAGAATGTTTTTTTCAAACTGATGCAAATCTCCAAAAAATGTTTTGATATATTAACTGAAAAAAAATCCATGTATTAGAGGAACCATGCAATTGTGTCAGTTCGAGACCCTGTACTGTTCAAGAATCAATATAGCTAAATACTTTAGCATTTCTTTTTTAAACTCATAATTACTACAGTTATTAATTCATATTCATACTAGAGAAGATGAATATTGAATTAAAATGCTAACATCTAAAAGAAACTTCATGGAATTCAAAGGTGTTGTAAGAATTCCCTGTGGGCTCTTCATGTTGTTAAGAGTTCAGTGTTCATAAGTCTCATGATGTATAATTAGATTCAGGTTGTTTTGCATTCAGTGTTTCTGCCCAATAATTATTATTTAATAAATTGGACCTATCAGGCTTTCTGCCTAATAATAATTATTTAATAAACTGGACCTATTAGCTTTACTATTAGGTAGGAATTTAGATACAAAGAACAAAATATCATTTCCTCCTCTTACTTCAGTCAGTGCCAGATTCTAAAATAAGCTTGATAAACAGTGGGTGTACTATAGACAAGATGATTGAATCTGATGGGGAAAATCTCTAATTCTTGCCTAATATCTTTGTTAGATGTTACTATGAAATACAGTATTCTTTTGATTAAACAAATGGTAGAGATTTTCCTATAGTAGTCTATATAGTTTATCTGGCCTGCACATCGTTCTTTTAGTGGCCACAAGAGGAAATAATGTTAAAGGATCTAATTCTGAGAATAAATGAAAAAAAGAACCATATGGTCATAAATGCATTATTAAGCCTCCCACCTAAACAATACAGTCTAAAAACCATTTGGCTTAAACTAAACATTCTATTAAAAAAGATTACCTAAGTGTTCCAATTTCACATAACATTATGAAATGAGTTGACTTGGCTATTATTCCAAGGTTGTTTCTAGCTGACTGGTACAACCCAGTGCTTTGTCATGCTGAGCTTTAGCCTGGTCACTAAAATGTAGAAATCTAACCAGATTCCTAATTCCAAGCATGGTAGTTGGTTTCTAAACTGAGACTCATCTGAACTTCTCTTTGTCCTGGTGTCTCTTTGGGCAAGTCTGTGAAAATCCCATACCTGCTCAATTTAGGAAGAAGTAGGAGAGGTGAATGTAGAGAGGACCCTAAAAACAGTTTTCAGTGGTTTGTGGGGTTTTTTGGTTTTTTTTTTTTTTTTGCTATTTTCAGTCTTAAAATCCAGAATTTTTAAGCTCCCTCGTTTTTCTCATCATATTGAATTGGGACCTTGTCATACAATAGCATACACAGGATTGATGATTTCTTTTTATACAAAAGATAAAAAATGCTTCATAGTATTATGAGCTATAGGTGTAGGCATTTCCAAACTCCACTGGCATTTAAAAAAATAATTCACTGGAGTGTAGTGAAGAAAACAATTTCAAGATAAATACAGGGTACAGAGGAATAATCAAGCCTTTTCTGTAGAGAGCAACGTCCTTGATAAGTTAAAAAGCCTTGACAGCTTCAGTTCCCAGAAGGGGCTGTAACCAGCAGGAGGATGCCAGCTGCACAGCATGCTGGGAGCACAGTGGGACCACACCAGGAAGTGGGGGCGAGCCGAGAAGGAGAGTAAATGATGTCTTAATTAGCAGCTTCCATTGAGGCAAATCCTAATCAGAACCAAGAACAAGCAGTCTCCATCAGTCTTGTCAGTAATTTTCAGGGGGACTTGACCTCTGAAATAAGGATGGTAGGCAGCTTCTGAACAGCAGAAGGAAGAAAGGGGTGCCAGGCAGGGTGGGAGATGCAGAGAATTTGTGAGGGAGCAGGATGAGAGAATGAAGGTGGGCAGGGAGGACTCTTGACAATAGTCGGGCAGACAGCTCATCTGAGTCTACACCTGGAGTGTGAAATGGGCTCTGTGAACTCCAGCATCCTGGGCATGAGGCAGAGACAGAGAAATGCTGGGGGCCCCCGACAATAGGAACATGAGCCAGGCAGTACCCAGCTTCTTCCTGGGAATATTCAGAGCTGCCACACCTGCTGCTGCACCCTTTGATTCCTTCAAGGCCTGCTGCTTCCAGAGGCAGGGGTCCTCCCTGACCTTCCCTTTGTTGTTCCTTCCTTTGTATATCTGCAGATACCTGGGTGCCTTTCCTAAACACCTGGGCCAAGACAGGCCCTAATTAGATGAATGGGAGACAAATACTTAAGGACTGTAAGAGATGTGCTCTTGGCACGCCTGCCTGGTGTGGACCTATTCTGCCTCTTACCAATGTTTCAGACACATCTATTGCCAGTTTAAATCCCTTTGCACCTTAGAAAGCATGAGATGAATGCAGCATCTGCCATATTGAAAACAGTCCCTTGAAGGCAGTGGCACATTAGCCTCAATCATCATTTAAGCAACTGAATTCTGATCCCTAAAATTTCGGATAGTTGTTCATCTTTTCTACTTAGACTCAGTTATTTGATTTTAAAATAGCTGTTAGGCTTTGAATTCATGCTTCTTTGTATAATTTCTAACACATTGTGAGTTCTTATTCTTTAGAAGTCATATGATCTTCAATTCCAATCTTTTGAGAAATGGGAAAGCTGACAGAAAGTGGTAATTGCTCCCAAAAGAATGCTGGACTATACCTACCAAATGTGGAATCCCCACAGGTGCTCATCAAGTACCCTGGTTCCCCACTCCAGTTTTGCTGCAGCACAATGGGGTGTCTTGCCTCCTGCACCTAGTCACACTTGTCCAACCAATCCCCAACTTTGGGTGAGCCTTGGGGAAGCCTGCTGCTCAACTGTCCTGTGCGGCAGGAGGCAGGGCTGCCCAGTTTGGGGAATCCATGCTTTTAGGGCTCACCTAGACCCTACGGTGCTGCGCCACCCACCCATCCAGCTGGCTACATCTAATCCTGTCTAGAGCCACCTCTCCAAACCTCACCTGCCTCCCAAATTTACAACTCCAAGCTGACCCACCCACCTTGCTCTCAACTTCTCCCCTCATCTTCTACTTTGCCATGGTTTCTCAATGTTATGACTTCTGTCCATCTGCAATCTTGAAATTAGTATCTAATAAATATTTTAAATATCAGGGAGTTCTTTCTGAGAAGAGAAATTGCAGAAGGGAGGAAATTTTCTAAGAATTTTAAGGTGCAAAAGGCTTACCATTACCACAGCACAAGGGTTAGAACCAAAATACTGTAATTTGAGTTCAGTAAAAACAGTTCTTCTCCCAAACTTATGAGATGATAAGATCCCTAAAGTTTGCTCCATATCAGTTTACTAGAGTTGTCTATAAAATTTTTTCTTTCACCCCATTATCAAGGTCATGCCAAGTTTGTATTTCTTTTTTTTTTATTCATAAGGTCACCCAACCCAAACTGTCCTGAGCAAAAGACGCCTGTTGGCTCACACACCTGAGAATCCAGGGATAGAGAGACTTCAGGTGTCACTTGATATGGGAGCTCAAATCTTGCTGCCAGGATTACATTCTCTATCCATATGTCAGTTCTGCTTCCTCTGGGTTATTACAATTCTTCAAGTAGCAAAATGGCTCCAGTGCCTAGATTTTACTGTCTCTGTGGTTCAAAACCAGCAGGAAAGAACTGCCTCTGATTCACAAATCCCTCAAATGCCTTATGATGTACTGTTGGCTCTGTTGGTCACATGACCATCCTTAAAGCAATCACTGTGATCTGGGAATTTGAGCTTTTCGTTGATGATTCCTAAGGAGGTAATAACATGCCACACAGAGACTAGCAGTGTCAGCACCTCCACCAGAAGTAAAATCCAATGTGAGTATCATAATTAGAGTAATTGATTTCTGGATGGACCCAAAATACCAAATGTCTACTACACTCCACCTTTCTTTTGGTTACAGACAAACTCTTAAAATGCTTCAGTTTAATCCACATATGATTAAAAATGCAGTTATCCCTTCCCCAAAGAAACATATCCCAGTGTTTCAACCAGGAGATGCATCCAGTCCCACATCTAGGATCTCGGGAAGCTGTGAAGCCTTCCCGTCCAGGTCCAGATAAATCCCCTCAACCCTCCTGGGGCCTGCCATAATGTTAGCCGTAATAGCAGCCTGAACAGACAGTGATGCAGAGAGGACAGAGCATGGATAGGTTTCCATTTGGAAGGAGGGGGAGTGAGACACAGTTTGAAGTGA